TTCCCCCCGTTATTTCCCCTTGTCCCGACGAAGCCGAGGACCCCCGAGCCCTATTTGGACGGTCTGGCCGGCCCCTGGGAGGGGGTCACGGCGGGGACCCGAGATTTCCCGGCCCCCCCTCCCCGTTGCTGAAGCTCCGAGGAAGGAGTCCCCCCGGCAGGGAAAGCGCCGGCTCCTCTCTGCAGAGCCTTCCCGGGAAGAGCAGGGATCCAAGAAGAGGAAAAGCATATTTATCGGATTGGCATTTTTTTCTCTCTTAACAGCACTTCTTCCTAATGATATTTACTTAACTGCATTTGACAGCAGTTAAGAACACGTCTCCTGTAAACAGGATCTATTCTCCTTCTGCCTACAACTGCCTGTCAGCTGCGAAGCCAATCGCAGTAATAACCGCTGGATCATTTTAAATGTGGCTAAACCTACGTTGGACAAAATCAATCTGCCATTTGTTGGCTCGGAAGGAAATCACTTGCACAGTTTGACGAATTGCTTGCAATACCCTTCAGCAATTCTCAATCGCATCGCTGTGTCCCTTCCTCGCAGCCCTCCTCCTCTCTGCTCCCTGGCTTCGGCTTTTTCCTTTTTTTCTTTCTTTTTTTTTTTTTTTACCCTTTCGCTTGGACTTCAGGTAATCTGAAATGGCACTGACCCTTCTCATCCTTCCGATTACCTTTCTGAAGCATGAACTTGGTATAAAATCACACATCAGAAAATTCACTATAATTATTTTGCAATGCCATCAGCACAGATCCATCAAGGAGGAAACCCAGTAGTGGAATGCTCCTCGCAGCCACATGAGCGGCCAGTCCCGTCCCGCCTGAGTGACAGCTTTGGTAATTAAGTGATTGTAGAGACCTCCCCAACTGTTCTAACAACCTTGTCAGGGCCTGTCTGCGGACAGAACAAGCTGAAATCAATGTGCTTTCTGCTCCCTGAGCATTTCTGATCATGTCCTCAGCCTGCATCGGGGGAAACATTTCACAAAAGAAAAACAGTTGCACTAAGCGTCGAGATTAATTTTTTGGAGCAGAAAGTTAACTTTCTTCGCCTCTTTTTGTTTGTTTGTTTGTTTGTTTTCTTTTTTTTTTTATTTGCTTCCCGTCATGGGAAGGCGGAGGGCAGCGGAGAGCCGCCGCCCTGGCGCGGCGGGGCTGGCTGGGGATAAGCGGGCCGCGCTCGCTCCGCGCCGCTCCGCGCCGTTTTGTTCCCGCTGGGAAACGTTCTGTAGCGTCTCTTGCAACGGCCCCAATTACTCCGAGGTACAATATATTTTCGCCGGGATTAGACGGCGAGTCTGTTGGCACTGTGTAAATGTCAAGCAGCAGCTTTTAATAAAGGGATGTTCAGACTGTTAAATTTCACAGTACAACGGGCTCGGCCCCTCCCGGCCCCCTCCGCCCCCCCCCTCCCTCCGAGCTCCGAGGCTGCCGCGGAGCCAACACGACTGCGCACCAAAAATCCGAGCGGGGAGCGACCCGTCCCGGGGCCGGGACGCTGCGCCCGGATAGCCCCGAGCTGCTTCGCGGAGGGACCCCCGGAGCCCCGCACCCCGATCCTCGGGGTCCCCTCGGTGGGGCGAGGCCTTCCCGTCGAGGGCCGAGGCGGCAGTTGCAGCCCCTTCCCGGCTCCCTGGGGCCGGACTCCGCCGGCCGGAGCTCGGGGCCGGTCCGTGGCCGCCCCCCCGGGCAGGGACGGGCTGGCGAGCCGGCACCCCCCGGCCGGGTACATGATACCCCGTCCCTGTCGCTCACTGCCCCCAGCCTCCATCGGGCCATCGATTAGCGCTCAAAGTGCCGCTCTAATTAGCTGCCTGCTAATTAACGAGCGGGGCCCCGTCCGCCTCCTCTGAGTGGCACCTTCGCTCATCGCTTTGATTCGGCTATTGCTGATTTATTGGCGGGGGCGGGGGGAAACTCCTTGGCTTTGCCCGCAGTCAGACGGGTGGGATGGGATGGGAAAGGGGGGGTCACACAGCCAGGGGCCGCGGGGATGTGGGGCTGCAGCTGTCCCGCATCCACCCCTGGCCTCAACAAGTGCCAGGGGAGCTCCGCGGCCCTCCGCGCCCTCGTAAGGTGCCAGTAGGAGGTGGAAGGCCTTTTTTGCGTGCGGTGCCCCCCGCGTAGGGTTGATCTGGCTTCTGGGAGTCCGAATCCACCCGTGGTGCCCTCCGGAGGAGCGGGAGAGGCGCCGCGGGCCGGTGCGTGGCCCGGGCGGGAGCAGAGCGGTTGCCCCGGGCGGGCCCCGCCGCCGCTTTCCCCCAGAATATTTCTGCACAATGGAGTCGAGGATTAAAAAATAAGGGGAAGGAAATGAAAGGTGTTCACTCTTCAGGAACATGACTTTAAGCCCTAAATCCCGATTCCGGGACGGGGAAGTGTATTGTGAGTTAAAGGATTATGCTAGTGTAACATATTACCCCGGATCCCGCATTCCCCTAGGGATAATTAGGACATACTTTTGGTAAATTGCAAACCAAGACAGCAGGATAAATGCGGCCGCCGCGGGCTGTTTCCCTGATGCAGGAAATCTGCCTGTGCATTTGCAGATATTTAAACATTTTTTCCCTTTCTCCCGTTTTTTTCATTTTGCTCCCGTTCCCGCTCTCCTCTTCTCCTGTCCCATTTCTTCTCCTTGTTCCTTCAAACGCCCGGATCTGTAGGGACGCGCTGGCAGGAGGTTACCCCTCCGTGCCGCCGACCCCTCTCCCACCGGGGCGCGGGGCCCGCGCTGCCTCCGGCCCCGTCCGCACCGGACGCCCGTCGGGGACAACGGGGGCGGCCGCCACCGCCGCCCAGCGGACGCAGGCGGCCCTGCACCTCCGCCGGCCTTACCGCCTCCGCTCCCTCACCGGCCTCCGGGCGCAGCACCGGCGCCTACAGCCCCGGGGCAAGCGGTACGCCGGGCTGTCCCTGGCCCCCCGCAGCTGCCTACCCGCGGGGCGGCGAGCGGCGATGCGGGGCCGTCGGGGCGAAGTGGGGGATGCTCGGTAGCAGCGGGCTGCCCGCGGGCTGGGTGTCCTGCCGTCGGAAAGCTGCTTTCGAAGTGCGGCAGGGGGCGGCGGGACCTGCCCCGCCGCGTCACCCAGCGCAGGCCGGTGCGGTTCGGGTGTGACACCGGTGCATCCCAGGGAAGGCCCGGAGATCTTGTAGCAGCGAGGACCCAGAAGCTCCTCGGCCCACCCCGCCAGGGCAGGCCGGCCCCAAGCCGTCGGAAGCGGAGCGGGAGGCCGCGGCGCCCTCCGCACCGGTACCTCTGCTGTCGGGGCGCGGGTCATTACCCCGCACGGCTGCGGGGTCTCACGTCAGACCCAGCCGCCCACAACGAGTTACGGGCTCGCCGCGGCCCCCCGCGCCCCCCGGGCTCCCCATGCGCTGCCCGTTTCCCTCCGTCGCTCTGAGCGGGACGGCTTCCCCGGGAAACGCACCCCGGTGGGAAACGGGACCAGGGCGCAACCGCGCAGCTACCGCACCCACGCGTCCTCTGCGCAGGGCCGGGTAAGGGACTGCCGGTACGGGGCAGGAGAGACGGGGTGGGAGTAAGAAAGGACCTGGCGTCTCCTCAATCTTGGCCCCGGGCCGGCGGCGGGCTCCCGTTACCGGGGCGGCCGTTGCCTGCGGGGCGGGGGTGTCACACCTAAGGCGTTACGCAGTGCCGTCGCTGAACGCCAGCACCCAAAAAACGTCCCTTGAGTTTATCCTGCCCTAATCCTGGCTTGCGCTCCCCCACTTGCGCTGCGCGGTCCCTCCGCGCCCCCGAGGTGTGGGGGCTTTTGGGGGGGCTGGTTTGATCCCGGGGCTGGTTGGTGGGAACGTCGGGGGTGGTGGGCCCGGGAGATGTGGTAAAGTTAACTCGGAGAACTCTAAATCGTTCTTTAACCACCTGTATAATTACTCCCGGCTAATTAGGCTGTCGAGGCGCCGCTTCAATCGGGATTAATACGACGTTTTAGTCCCTGGCGCTGCCCATCACCCTGCCGTTCAACCGGGGAACCGTCTCCCGAAAACACCGGGTGATGGATCTCCCGGGGAACCGGGACACGACGGGGCGGGGACGGGCGCGGGAGGG